TACTTATTACGCAAAAAATGATAAGAAATAATCGGAAATAATAAATAATAATACTTTACTAAACTTGCCCATCTCTAATAGTGACAGCACAATCAAAAGTCCGAAAGATGATTCACAAGATCATAATCAGCCTCCACCTGCCCCAACTCCTAAAACAACCAAAGTTACACCTACCCCGACCCCTAAAGTTGTTGGTGATCCTCCTCGAGCCAAACAGCCCGATATGATTGTCGTTAATGGTATTTATAAAAACAAAAAACTAAAATAAAAAGTAAATGCAAATAAGAAACAATTTCCTAATTCTTTTCTTAATATAAATAGGAAAGTTTGCCTATGAGGCCATGTTTGGAGAAGTAACTGGCGAGGGTAAGAACAATACTGAAAAGAATAATCTAATCGATCTAGTTAGGTTAGGATTATTTATGAAGGATTCGTTAGACCTTATTTTGCAAAAAACTGATGTTAATCATGTTTTTGCGTGGCAAGTCATTGAATTTAGAAGATAATGAACTTGAAGATTTTTGAAACATGGGCATTAAGAAAGCAAAAAGGATTTGAAGCTGCAATGTTAATTGTCAAAGATAGTGGAAAAACTAAACGATCACGAGATATCTTTGACAAACATTTTCAAAATGTAAATCGGTGGTAAGTTTGTCTTCTAAGAAATTTATTTATTTTTCCAATTAATAACCTCTATGTAATAAATAGTAACAAGGTGGACCGGCTTTTTAATGACCTTAAGTTTCCGGAAGTATATATTATGGCAGATTAAAAAAATCTGTTAACGATGGCAACATATATCAAGCACTAGCAGAACTAACAGCCAGCGATCTTATTGGCAGCGTGAAACTGCCAAGGTCTTTCGAAACGTACTCTATGTTTTTAAATGGATTACGTTCATTCGAGGTATAACTAATAAAAATTTTAATACTGCATTACTTGTCATTCTGTATAAACTAATTTAAACAATGGTACATTTGCACCAGACCACAAAGACCCAACACAACCATTCCGTATCAGTTTCTGGCTGAAAAAGTTAATCGTTTACAACAACGAAGCTACAAGATCCGAGTACGTTTCGGTAATACTAAATGCAGCTGTTGGATTTTCGTAACTTTATTAGAAAGATTAATTTGTTTCATTTACAAAATGTTAGTGGGCACTTGTGTTGTTAAAAAAAATAGAAAATATGTATCGACATCAAGAATGATAATTTTAAAACATGGTGTCGGAACACCAGCATTTAAAAAGATTGTCAAATTTAAATAATTTTATATAAAATATTAAAAATATTTTTACAACATAGTTTAATGTAAAACCTTACGAATTGAACAGTTAGTCGACAAACCGCATGTTAGTGAATTTAGTAATCCGTATGGATTCCGTTTGGCTATGCGGATTGCAGATCAATATGTACGTAATCTGCTTTTTAATAGTAAGCGGAATTTGGAAACTTAGCCAATGAAATTTTGTTAACCGTCGAATTTGTTTTAATCAACGGAAATTTCCGATGACAATAGATTTAACAATAGATTTTGTAACATGAAAATTGTCAACGGCTTGTCTAATAAATTATATACTATTATATACTGTAAATAAATTTTTTTTTTTTATTTGAGGCATACATACCTTACTGAGCTAAAGTTCCAATGGTTTTGCTGAGAGAATATTAATTAATAATCTCGTATATTTTTGGTACTGTACTAATTACAAAAGGTTTTGCTACATGCATAATATTAAGTATTCTACGTAACTCTAAGAAAATTAGGTTATAACTTGCGTAGTATAAATAATTCTAGTTATCGCTACGAAGAAGAGTCTATCACGTGACACGAATAGTCTTAAAATTTTCTAGGATTGTGACTTGGTTCACCCTCATTAGGTGATTGACTAATTTCGATCTGAATCGTTTCATTCATCATCTCGTTACTCGGCCTTGAATGTTCCCAATTTATATCACGAGCTTTTTCAGCTTCATGTCTAAATCGAATGTCCAAGCCATCCATCCACCGTATAACACCAACCAAATTTGTGTTAAACATATTTGGTACGTAAGCTATTCTTTGATAAAGTTCTTTATCACCAATTATATCTTCCGTTCTTTTAATTTTTAGAAAATGTTTTTCTATACAAAGATCAACAATAAAAAAATAAATGGAATGCGCAGAATAAGTGATGAAAACTGCTAATATAATATCTACAGTATAATGCATTCGAGTTGCAATAAGTAATGATAAAGCGACAAGACCATGAAGATACGAATAATAGACTATGAATTTATAACGACAGTATACGCGAAAAAGTATGACACTATATATAAAAAAAAAATTTTAGAAGCAAAAAAAGTAAAAAATAAATTAACAAAAATCAAAATAAAAACATACCCAATAGTAATAAATGTACTATGACCAGAAAAGATGTTATCAGTACAAGCCTTCACATTACCAGCTATAAGATCTACACTATTTTTGAGCATGTTCGGAAAATCTCCAGGATTAAGAGGAGTACATTTTTTTGGACTAGGTAAAGTTGTAACACTAATAGTAATCATTCTGAATATTAATAAAAAAGAGAGCATCCAACAAATACGACGAAAGATAACAATTCTTGCGGTATTAGATTTAGCAATAATGAGATTGATAACCAAAGAACCAACAAATAGAGTGAGCATAGTTATGTCGGCGAGAAAAACGTAATCGATTTGTGGTATCATATTGAAACCAAGATCTACCAAAGGTTCCATATCATAATTAGAACTTTTCCACCGAAAATCTGACCATTGTATACCAAAAGTACAAAGGAAAGCAGCTATCACTAAACATACAAAAGATATAAAAGCTCGTAATAATTCTGCGATCAAATATGGAGAGATATGTAAATGTTCGGCGAGATAATTTTGAACATTAAAGCTTGGTATTCTCAAGCATTTTCTATTTTGAGTAGTTGTCGTGTTATTTGTTATATTCGTCGCTGGTGAAATAGATATTATTGGGGAATCTGTCATTATAAATGTCTATAAAAGGATGTGAAAAAAAAAAATAAGATTGAAAAAAAAAAACCAATACAATGGGGGCCTGAGAGAAGAGTATGGTTTTAGTTGAAAAATACCACTGAACTATATATATATATATATAAAGAGTATATCAATTATCAAATATTAGGGTGGCGTGCTACGTTCAAAAAAGGATGGTCAATAAATTTCTGTAGTACTAAAAAATGGTTTTGATGACGAAAAAAATCGAATTCTGTATTGTGATGTAAGAGGCCATTTTTTTAGGATTCTGTATGGTTATATGTGGCAAACCATGTGATTAAATTTGATTAAATTTGTAATAGGTTTCATTATTAAGGAAAAAAAAAGGTTTCCTAAATTTTATTACGTAGTCATTTTACTTTTACGTACGTACTACGCATCATTTTACCTATTGTTTTTATATAATGGAAAGCTGTGCTCAACACTATAGCTTGAAATTATAATTTAACGTTATCTTTGACAAAATCAAACTAAAATTTATTTTGTGAATTTTGATTTCAGCTACTATTTACGAAATAAAAAAACATTGGATAAATTTTCGAACTTTCGAGAGAGTAATCAAGAGAGTAAACGGTATCAAAAACGCCATATGTCCATCAACTGTTTGTTACTCAGCAGCCTCATTGCAGTATTCACTCATTCAAACGTCATCAAATATGAATGTCTGTAATTTACCGACAACCTGGGTAATTAATAGGAGATTTTCTCCACAGGCACAATCTCTATTACAGTTTATATGGTGACACTAAAGAGTTGGCGGACAAATAATTTATAAAATAAATAAGCTATATACCCGAAAATAGAGAATTCTACTTATCTCCTTATGGCACAGCAATGATCGATATAATCATACTATTAAAATTAAAAGCGAATAAAATTAAATCCTTACAATTAAATCATACAAAATATAATTTTGATATCTTGCTTTGATGTATAATGAACTCAAAGTATCGATCATTTCATTTCAAACCTTAAATCGGGGTAAGTGAAACAATCACTGTCATAGGCGATCAGTAATTATTTTTTTCACAACAGTTATGTAAAATGGCCTCGATTTAGGGTTTAAAATGCAATAATTATCTGAAAAATTATTTAATATCGATATTGCAGCATTGTAGCAAACATTTGAATCGTAGACTATGGGAGCAACGAATCAGAGATCAATGGATTCGGTTACCATTGGTCACTGCTTAAGATTCGGGTATTACTCACTATCCTTACCAACTGTTTCTCGAATAAGATCCAGGAATATAACTACGCATATTGATTGACTAATTTTAATATAATATATCCCCAAATACAATACCTGGTTCTTCACCTAAATTTGATTCTAAATTCAACTTCATAATTTAATAGGTGCGAAAAACTTATTACTAATTTCTTGTATCGATATTACTATATTAGTGGAATTAAAATAAAAATCAAATTATAATTAGATGCTTATCAATTACCGTATATGTAATCTTTGTTAAAGTTTAAAATTAAACTGCTATCAGATTTTGAATATTCGAACGCTTTGTGTTTATTCTTTTTATATAACACCTAATTTCTCATTTATATTAATGATCAACCATCATCACCCATGACTGTAATATAATATTACTGTTTCATTAATATAATAAACTACGTTGTAGATCTGCAGCTTGAAGCGAAGAGTCAATCGTTACATTAGTAAAAATAGGATAATTTGGGACAATTTAGGAATTTAGAACATCCAAAAACAGATCGGATGTTCTATATAATAGATGAATGAGCTTCGCCTATGATTAGTAATCATTAATTCTTTTTAATATATTCACGTGATATTTGACGGAGTGAGTTTACCCACCTATTTTATACGTAGAACATCCAACATCTTTTTATTCTAGGATAATCCGAAAACCAACTTTAGGTGACACAGTCGTTATGACATAGGATTTAGGTCAAGGTCATGACTAAATTATGTATCTGGTCATTAGGAAATTTTTTCTTCATTTTCACATTACACCTACCGTATTACCGCGAAATAACGACCATGGGCGTTATTTCGAGGTTCGGCCCGAATTAAGCTTAATTTAGGCCGAAATTCATAATTTCACCCCTGCGCGTTATTTCATATAACAGATAATTACTGAATTAAACAGAAAATTACTGAATTAAAAATTATCTCGAATTAGATGATCGTTTGTTTGTTATTGCGTAGATCTTTCGCACGTGATACATTCATTATTTTATAACCCGTATACGGTATGATGATGTTAGCAATCTTGTCCCTGAAAATGGAAAACACGGATGCACGCACGGTCTGTCAAACAGATAATTAATAATTGAAAGTGTCGCGAACTGGTTTATATCCTGTTATTAATTATTATATCTTTAAAATTTAGAAAGAAGATTGTAACCGGATTTTAGATGAACAGGTATACAAAAAAAAATTTTTTTACATATTGTTTACATACTATTTACGTATTTTACATCACCATCGGCTTGTATTCGAAAAAGACAATATATCTTCAAAAGATAAACACGGAAATTCAAGAATATACTTCTAAACTTAACAATTTAAGATTTGAATGTGAAAATTTGGAGAAAGAAATTGAAGTGCTTTCGAAAGAACGCGAACTCCATGAGTCACATGTCGTGAAAACTGTATCAAAGATGAATAATCGATCATTGCAAGAGACATGTAGATCGTATGTGTTATTTATATTTTTCTATCATTTAATTACGATAAATATTTATTATATGTAAAATGTATAGGTATATCTGTTCTATAAGACTTTATTGCCAATTGTTGGATATTGAACTTCCGGATCCAAAAAAAGAGTTCAAAGATTGAAATTGCAACAAAGTCTTGATTTATTTTTTCTTCTTTTTAAAGTTACCACGCTTTGTCAATTGTATCTATAATGAATTAATTAATGTGATCTTAAGTTAGTAATTCAATAATATCAAGTTTTGATTTATTAATAAATACCTGTCTATCTCTTAAACTCATTCGTTTTTTAGTGATCGCATTTTTCTTATGAATTACCATCATAAAAGCTTTATGTCTTGCTTTTTCTTTATTTGTGGTACTAGTGCCTTCAGTTTTTTTCCCTTTTTTGTGTCCTCCGAATTTTTCTCGTCCTTCTCGTCCAGCCTTTATAGATTCTATACGTTCCTCATAATCTTGTTTGGCTTTTTTTCGTGGTCCGGTAATAAAATTGACATCAACTATATCCGAAGGTTCATTATGCTGTATTCTATTCAAAAAGAAAACGTGGTACCCTTATATTAGTATTTGCATTTAATGGGTTAAATTAGTTATAGTATATTTTTTTCATACATACGCATCACTTTTGCGTTTACCTCCCTCCATTAATTGTTTAACTTTATGTTTCATTTTGAGCTCGTTCAGTTTAAAAAAATCTGCTGGCGTCAGGAGCTGTTTTATTAAAACAAAATGATATATTATTCATATGTAAATCAACAAAAGAGATTAAAAAAATGCTTATTCATACTCGCGTCGTTGCCAAACTTGAAATCTTTATATCTTTAGTAGTTTCCCCTTCATATCCTTTATCTTCGTTTTTTCCTTCATTCTCACGTTCCTTATCTTCATCTTTATCAACTTCATTTCCATCGTCGTCATTATCATCTTCGTTTTTATCATTTATATCACTTTCGACTTCATCATCTATATCACTTTCGATTTCATCATCATCATTTTTATCATCTATAACACTTTCATTTTCATCATCATCATCTTTATCATCTATATTATCTTTATTTTCATCATCTTTATCATCTATATTATCTTTATTTTCATCATCTGAAACATCAATCCAGTCTCCATTGTTTGATGATGAATTTGAAGCCACTTCCCATCCTACCCACTCTTTATTATAGATAAATATATTGAATATAAAGTTGGTGTAAACCTTAAAGGTGTAATTATAATTATGAAATTACCATCTTCCTCATTTTCAACCGTTCCTTCTTGCATTTGTTGCTTCTTGTACTCTTCTAATAATTCTATACCTTCAATTTGTTCGGTCGTACGTACTTTACCATACTGTAATGGTTTGAAATCTTTCATATTCATACTAGCAATTTTACCCTACAAGGGTAAGAAATGTTAAATTTATTAATTAATCAAATCATAAATAAATTATGAAATAAATAGTAATATACCCTATCTTTTCTTTTCAACATTTCTGGATTAATTTCTCGGAATAATCCAATTAATGATTTAGCTGCCATCATGACTCCTTTATCCCTATCTGATTTGTACTCTGTTAGGTCTTGCAATAAAGTAGAATCTATTGCTAAAGGTTGACGCACACAAATTTCGCGTATAGCGTTCAAACTATAAAAAAAAATTTTTTTAAAAAAAAATCTTTAAAAAAAGTAATCAATTCAGAAATCTGATAAATTTACCCAGCAGCCATAACTTCACCAGCACAATGATCAGTAACAAAATTATTTGCAATAGCTTTAATAACAGGTTCCAATGCATCAGGTGGTACTAGTTCATGACAAGACTGTGCAACTACAACAAGAATCATTGTTACATCACGCTGATGTGGTTTAAGATATTTTAGTAAATATGTGTAAAAACTTAATAAAATAAGCTTATGTGCTCCAATTATACGTGATATAAGATTCATTGTCATTAATTTGACTTCAAATCTATCATTATTTGACGACTTTTGAAGCGACGATAATAATTTTTCACCAAATCCTAATATAATTAAATTTTATTATTTTAATAATTTAATATGAAAAGATATTGTTAAATATTTAAGTTACCTTGAGGATTATTTAATAAATGTAATGTAGAAAAATTAAAGTTTTCTCTTTTATTTTTTTGTTTTTCTCTTTTTTTAACAATTGATATTGCTTTTTCTAATTTTTTTACTTTAGATCTTTTTGATTTGTTAATAAGATTTATATGTTGTAATCGTTTAATATCTGGAACGTCTTGCTATAACATATAATAAAAAATAATTTTATTTTTAATACCTAATTTCCACAAATCAAAAAAATAAATATTAAAGAAAATCTCTACATTATCATCTTCACTATCTTCATCTTGATTTTCATTACTTGATCCCAAAAAGAATTGAATTGCAGTAACTTTAATTTTCGTCGCTGAATGAAAGCATGCTTCAGATATAATATTAACAGTTTTTGAATCATTCCTATGTTAATAATAATAATAATATATTGTTATAATTAATAATTTTTAAATTTACAAAAGATTAAAACTCACCATATTCCTTTTTTATATAATTCAATACAGGCATCTAAACTTTTCTTAGCAGCAACTACATTTGTACTATCTGTTGTATTTTGTAAAATTGTGTACATAAAATTTTGTAATGTTTTATTTAATTTATTATTCTTGTGTTTGGCATTAGTATTTTTTATATCTGAAATAATATGTGAATATAATAAATCACGAAGTTGTTTATCATGAACTCGGAAGAGTGTGTAGAATAAGGATAATAACCTTTACAAACAAATTAAGCTTTAGTTAATTTTTTTGAATCGTATAAAAAAGACATTTATTTTTTTTAAAAAAAATTTTTTTTACGTGATACTTGGAATTATTTCTTTATTGCGAAGTAATATGAGACTTTGTACCATGGTCTTTCGTAGATTAGGATTTAAATTTTGATAATGTTCAGAAAGTAATTTTATTAATTGTTGAGGGAATTTATTGATTTCTTGTGGATAACATTGCGCAACCTAATTAAATTTTTTTATTATTAAAAAATCAAATTGATCTTTTGAAAATTCGTTCTTCATGAAAACAGACCTGTGAAATAAAAGTAACCAAATTTCCAAATTCTTCTGCTTCTTCGTCTGGTTTTAGCTGAAGAATGGTTAATTGAGACTCATAATGTCTATATTGCTGTAAAAAATCTTCTTTATATGAAATTGGATCACGTTTGATAAGATTTTGTAACTGTGGAAGATTACTTGGCAATAAAGCTGATCGTTCTCGTTTTCCCATTCTGTCGAGAAGTTGAAGAAATATCTACGTACACTATTTATATACCGATACTGTATGTATTACAAAAAAAAAAAATTCACATATCTAGATTATCTTAATATTCTGTACCAACTGTTATCCGGCATTTGAAATTCTACAATTTTTATGCACATGTTACACACGTTATCCGAATTATTTTATATTCAGAACAACGTGTATAACTCATGTGCATAAAAAATTTAAAATCTCTAACGCCGGTCAACAGTTGGAATGCAAAATTCAATAATATAAATGCCGGATAAACCAGTTATTCAAGCACGAAGTACTCATAACTACGGTACTATAATTTTCTTATATATAGTAAAGCGCTATCGCACTTTACTATATTACTACGGTACCTTACCGGTATTTGCAAATGCGGCCGAATTTTGCGCACCTTTGGTGCTTAAAATCGACCAATCAAATCGCATACAGCAAATACCTCAGTTATTCGTCACTTCGTGACGAATAACTATTAATTATATGTCGATGCGACGAAAGCTTAAATTTTTTATTTATAGGTTTTACCCCCATTTTAAACATATTTTAACTTCCTCATTAGGAGTTTGTCTTGCCAGCATGATTTAATGTATTGGATTTTGAAATAAGCGAATGTGAGTTCATTTAAAGGTTCAAATCAAAAAAGAGAATTAAATGAAAATCGTAATATAAACAAGGCTGGAAAAACTTTGATTTTAATGGTTGGTTTAATAAGAATTCTGATTGCTTATAAAGCTTTTTTTCTAATTTTGGAAATCGGTTATAAATGTCGCATACTTGATTTATTTAATACAATCCGAAATTAGCATATATTTATTAAAGTAACGTATTGCCCTCCACGCCGAAAGTGTTACTTACTGTTACTATTTAACTCATGAGTCAACTAATTTTAATCATATTTAGTTAAAACCTTAAGGTAGCAATTATGATGATCTATAGACAATAAACATCTCAGAAGAGAATCTTAGATATTTGCCTCATGAAATTCTATTATTGTACCCTCATTTCTTTTTAGAGAATACAGTGAAGCCTCCATAAATGCACGCTCTTGGGGCTGGAACTTTAACAACGTGCATTTAGAGAACAATAAGAAAAAGTGCATTTATAGAGGGCATGCATATATATTTGGGCCAGAGATTTAGCGTACATTTAGAGAGGGTGTGCATTTATAGAGGGTGCATTTATAGAAGTTTCACTGTACTTAAAAAGGATTCTCTGTAATACATTAATACGGTATAAAAAGTTGAGGTTTCATCTCTTCTTCCAAAATTTATTCTTAAAAGATAAATATTTTTAAACTATGAATCAAGCATCCAATAGCCAACAACAAATTTCCCAAAATTCTAATGGGCCACAAAATGGTGGCCGAAATCAAATGCTTTTAAACATTGGTAGGCAGCTATCAAACCGTCAAAACACTATCGGTGCATTCAATTCTGATCAACGATACGAAGATTTAGTTAACGGTACAAATCCTTTTAATAAATTGCAAAGTGTAGAAATTTCAACAGAGAATACTCAGTACGATTTGTTTTCAGGATTTTCTTTCACATAAATAAATAAAATTATGTGATAAAGGAACTTTTTAAGATGATTTGACTTTACTACACTATTTTATGTCTTATTTTAATAGTTAAGAATTTTATTTTAAGCTTTTTTTAAAAATGTTCATTAATAGGTTAAATATTCTAGAATGATTAGGCCAAAATTTGTTTCTAAATGAGAATCGATTCTGATTTTGAAGAAATTATGAGTTAAAATGACTGATATCTTAAGATTATTATGACTATTATGTAATATTAATTATTTTTTATCTGAGCGAAGAGCTCATATTTTTACGCAATTGATAATATAAATAAATATTCAAATGCCATAAAATATTGGCAAAGATTATGCATTAAATGAATTAGTAGTGTATCAACTTTTATGACATGTTACCATGTCGCGGTGTATCTATTTAATCTAAACTAATACAAATTGTCTTATAATACATTTTTAAATCAGATTGCTTTTAATTAAAAAGTTCAAAATGTACATAAAATGTATACAGTATGAAGTATATTATTAATATGAGAACACCATAAGCGCATGAAATTTAGTAAACTTTGCTTCTTTAAATCGGGGTTTTTTTAAAATACGTATAATTGTTTAGAATATACTGTAGGTAAGTTACACGATTGAAGTTATTTATACTAATTGTAAACAAACATATGACATTGAATACGAAATAAAAAAGGTCAGTCGACTATAAAATCTACAATTATTATTGACCAGGAAAGGGTCACAAGACGAATATATAACTTATTAATTTATAGTGAAACTAATTAGACTTTTTGATATAGTGAAATTAAATCTTTAATTTTTACAAAGATCGATTTCTTCAATCTGATTAAAATTACTTAACTCGTTGGGTTAATAGATAAATACAGATGATGATAATGATTTAAAAAAGTTTTTTGTAACTGAAAGTAAAGTAGAACGGCTCTATTTAACGCATAAATAAAAGATTTCATTTATGAATTATCGTTGATTAATTCGTTAGTCTTTTACGAACATGAGATTGTCGACCGACATATATAAATTACATGGTTTGATACGCACTTATGGACTAGCTGTAATCAGTAATTATAAATGTTTAGAATGTTCAAAATTAGAAACTTAATTAGTAACTTAATTATAAACATATATATTTTACAATAAAATTTCGTATTATATGAAATCATTAATTTTAATTCAGGGTTTGTAAGCAACACTATACAAAGGGATCTAAATCATTTCCCTGGCAGCTATTCCCTTGACTTTGACCCTAACCCTAATCAGATAACCCTAAATTACAGTGAATTCCGCTAAAGTCCGTAAACATTCCTAATGAATGAATGAGTAAATGAATGAGTAAATGAATGAGTAAATGAATGAGTAAATAAAGAATGCGCATAACCAATTGATTTATGCATTTTATGATAATTTGATAGGTTATAATCGTTTGCCATTGCAAATAACGCGTCGGTTGTGGTTACACATTGATTTAAATTGATCTTATAAACCTTTTATATCGAGCAGAAGCACCAAACCTTTTATTATTACCATAAAACTTCGTACTTTTCATAAACAATATTAAGTCCAGTCTGCAAACACCATACGTTCATTACAATCATTTCCTTGTTTATTATTTATGTAACTGATTTGATGTAGCGTCTTCGTATCATTAGCGCTGAAAATTTGTCTTAAAATGACAAGCTGGTTATTCGTGTTGGGGGCTCATGGCTAAATATTTTTGGTCATATGCTTCTTCTTTTTTTTTTGATCTTTGTACGTTCAAGACAAAGAACTTATTGAAGAGATGTTCATAGGCACGTTTCAGATAATAACCCTTTTGCATTGAAATGAGACTAATAAGTTAATATTATGTTAATATTGTTAGACATAATAAATGCATTACGGTCAATCGCTTGTAACGGAAACGTTTTTTCTTATAATTAATTATCTATTAAGACCAATTATATTTTGCTTTATTTCTTAAGCAAAGTTAATAAAGTAATAATCTCTTTTATTTTTGATATAATAGAGTCGTCACTTTAAATTTTATATAGAACTTAAAAGCTAAATTGAATAGTTCTACATCATTGCACAGGAGATATGAATATAAACACATAAGAAATAAGAAAATTTGGCATTAAATGAATAACTTTTGCAAAATTACCTGTGTGACAACCAATTTTTACATTACATATTACTGTATATTTAATTGGATATACTAAATCAATGAAGTAATGATTAACAATAATCATTGTTAAAAATTTCCTTATTTTGATTGTGACTAAAAAAAAAACATTGTTTAATTCAAATACGTTAGTACCATTGTTCATTGATCGGCCATTGTCGTCTTAAAGCTAAAATAAGTTAGAATTGCGTTATACAAGAATGAAATACTAGCCATAAATAGCCATTGTAAACCCAAAAAGCGTAGTACGTACGTATCACGAATTGATCAACATCGAGATCGAAAACAGCAATCAGGTGATTGTATAGGTGAGTGGCTATACATGCCGTAGAAATTATTGCGGCATAATTTTTACCTGAATTTTGACATGCGGGGCAATGCCTAAATCTAAAATTTATGCCGCAACTTATGACCTAAATCTAAAATTCATGCCGCAATTTAAGACCAATGCCTAAAATCATTCATAAGTGCTGAAATTAATAAAGTATAATTGATATAGTGCCGAAAATAATAAATTATAATTAATATAATGCCAAAAGTAATAAAGTATAAAGTATAATTGATATATCATCAGTTGATATAGTGATTTTAAG